CACACACCATCTCACTGCATCTGCACACACCATCTCACTGCATCTACACACACCATCTCACTGCATCTTTGCCCAGCCCGAGCAGTGAGGCACAATTATGATTCCCGTTTGACAGATGAAGACCCTCTGGCAGGATGATAACCTAGATCTGCTACGTGCCAAGACCCTCATCCCCAACTCCTGACCATACTGCCTTTGCCGTTCACTGACCACCCCGAGTCAATAGGGGGCTCCCTGGGCTCCAGGGGCCCCTCAGCATATGTTCACTGCAGTCAGGGGAGACCTCCCTTGCCTCAGCCTATATCTTGGCACGCTACAGGACACTAAGAAATAAAGAGAACCTACAGAAACCAGGTCCTGGTGAACCAGGACTCATGCACAAGTGGGCAGACAGATCCATCCATTCAGCCACCACTCCCACCTGCTGGGAAAATGGTACTTGAGTTGTTAACACCCTTACTGGCTGCCCATCTCACTTAGGATAAAATCTTAACTCTGTACCCCAGCCTAGGGGCCCCACATGGTCTGACTCCTTTCCTCCCTACCCTACACGACCCTACCTCCTGCCTCTCTCCTTCATTCTCTAGTCTCTAACCTTCTACCCATCTCTTGCAGGTGCCAAGCTCACTTCTGTCCTGCAGTCTTCGCTTGGGCTGTTTCCTCTGCCTGGAATGTTCTTCCCCTGCATTTTCACATGGATATGGCTGCTTCCTCCTCTTCATTCAGTTCTAAGCTCCTATGTTCCCACATTCTCAGGGAGTCCCTACTGGATCATTTGACCCAAAATAGTAGGCCCCCTTCCCAGCAGTCTGTAGTCTCTGAATCATTTTTCCTAAAGCAATTCATACTTTCTGAAAAGACCTTATTCTTTTTTTTTTTTTTTTTTAAGATTTTACTTATTTAGGGGCACCTGAGTGGCTCAGTTGTTAAGCGTCTGCCTTTGGCTCAGGTCATGATCCCAGGGTCCTGGGATCGAGCCCCACATCGGGCTCTCTGCTCAGCGGGAAGCCTGCTTCTCCCTCTCCCACTCCCCCTGCTTGTGTTCCCTCTCTCGCTGTGTCTCTCTCTGTCAAATAAATAAATAAATTCTTTTAAAAAAAAAGATTTTACTTATTTATTTGAGAGAGAGAGAGAGCACACACACACACACACACACACATATGAGTGAGTGGGGGGGTAGGGCAGTTGGAGAGTGAGAAGCAGACTCCCCGCTGAGCAGGGAGCTCCACTTGGGACTCCCTCCCAGGACCCTGAGATCATGACCTGAGCCGAAGACAGATGCTTAACTGACTGAGCCACCCAGGCGCCCCTCTTTTTTGTTAATGTGTATATTATCTATCATTTCCCCAGCCTACACACACACACACCTCTCTCTCTCTCACTCACTCTAGAAATGCATTTCCAATATGGCAGCCATTAGCCACATGTGGCTATTGAAATTTAAATTAAATTTGATAAAAAATAAGTTCCGGGGCACCTGGGTGGCTCATTTGGTTAAGCATCTGCCTTCGGCTCAGGTCGTGATCTCAGGGTCCTGGGATCAAGCCCCGCATTGGGCTCCCTGCTCTGCGGGGAGCCTGCTTCTCCCTCTCCCTCTGCCTGCCATTCACCCAGCTTGTGTTCTCTGTCTAAAAAAATAAATAAATAAATAAGTTCCTGGGGCGCCTGGGTGGCTCAGTCATTAAGTGTCTGCCTTGGGCTCAGGTCTTGATCCCAGAGTCCTGGGATCGAGCCCCGCATCGGGCTTTCTGCTCAGCAGGAAGCCTGCTTCTCCCTCTCCCACTCCCCCTGCTTGTGTTCTCTCTCTTGCTGTGTCTCTCTGTCAAATAAATAAATAAAATCTTAAAAAAAAAAAAAGGAAAAAAAGTTCTTCAGTCACACTAGCCACAAGTGCAACATGTGTCTGTTGGCTACTATGGACAACACAGACAACTGAACATTTCCATTACCTCAAAAAGTTCATTGGACAAAGGTGTTCTAGAATATAAGCCCCAATATAAACACAATAGTGGCTTCATCTATCTTATTTACCCCACTCTAGAATAACCTCACATGTAATGGGCACTCAACAAAATAAAAATTTATGGAAAGAATGAATGAATGCTGGCTAATTTTACATAACAGTAGTTGTCACAGAAGCAAAACAAAGTGGGACATGATGAGAAATTCTGGACAACAGATCTGAAGCCTTGCATGTTCACTCAGAAGGGCAGTATTGCTCAGTGATTAATAATGCACACACTCTGGGCGCCTGGGTGGCTCAGTTGGTTAAGCATCTGTCTTCAGCTCAGGTCATGATCCTGGGGTCCTGGAATCGAGCCCCAAGTCAGGCTCCCTGCACAGCAGGGAGTCTGCTTCTCCCTCTGCCCCTCCCCCCTGTTCATGCTCTCTCTCACTCTCTCTCTCTCAAATAGATAAATAAAACCTTAAAAAAAATAAAACAAAATAATGCATAGGCTCTGGTACCAGGTACCTTCCTACCTGTGTGCCCTGGGACAAGTCACTTCTCCCTGAGCCTCAGTTTCCCTATCTGAGAGCAGCAGAACCTGAATGTATAAATAGCAGAGCTAATACATATAAAGGGCTTACAATGGGCCTGGCTCCCAGCCCAGACTATGGAAGCATTGACTTTTTTTTTTTTTTTTTTAATTAAGTAGGCTCCATGCCCAGCGTGGAGCCCAAAGTGGAGCTTGAACTCATGACCCTGAGATGAAGGCCTGAACTGAGTTCAGGTCAGATGTTCAACCTATTGAGCCATAGGTGCCCTGTGTTGGCCATTTTTAAGGTCTGAATCCAATCTTTTTCCTACTTAACCCTCTCTTGTTATCAATAACCCATTGGGATTTCTATCACAGGGTCCATTTAGGACAAACCACAGATGACTCTGGTTTCTATGAACAAAACTGATTCCCTGGGCCCACTAGAGGTCCTAATTCTTTTAGGAAATCTCTCTCACCACCCCCAACCCCTAGAGACTCCCTTCTCTGGATTCCTACGGAACTGACTCTGTTATTTAACTTCCCAGGTAACTTTCCCCACCTTAACTCCTACTTAAGGGCAGTTACACCACCTAGAATCTCCACAAGCAGACACAGATCTAAGCCTAGAGCTGGTAAGACCTTCAAATATTTCCTATAAATAGGTAGGCGCCTTTAAAATTTAAATTAAATTTTGGGGCACCTGGCTGGCTCAGTCGGTTAAGCGTCTGCCTTTGGCTCAGGTCATGATCCCAGGGTCCTAGAATCAAGTCCCACATCGGGCTCCCTGCTCAGTGGAGAGTCTGCTTCTCTCTCTGCCCCTAACCACCACCCCCCCCCCCGGCTTGTGCTGGCTGTCTCTCTCACTCTCTCGAAAAAATAAATAAAATCTTTTAAAAAATTTTTTTAAATTAAATTTTAATTTAGTATCCAAGATTTGGTGGGAAGAAGCCGGGAAAATAACAACAATTCTTGAAATTTAGAGAACAAGTCACACAGTCCAAAGATATGAAGCATTCCTTCGCCAGAATGGCCGTCTGGCAGCCACAGGGCGGTGGGGGGGCGGGGGGGTTGGTGTGCCCAATGTCTCTCAGAGGGCTCAGGCAGAGCCAGAATTCACACATAAGCCCGGGCTTTTCCCACCACCCTGATTATTTCTCCTGTGTCTAGAGCTCTCACAGCCTCTACTTTGCCTTTTGCTCCTTGTCCATGGGTCCAAGTACAGGAGCTCTCCCTGCTGGTTCTGTCCAGCTCTAAGGCGACAGTGGGTTCAGGGGGGCTCACAGCCTCAGAATGTCAGGACTGGAATCTTGGGATCACTGAAATCAGCTATTTCATAAATGAGGAAACTAAGTGGCTAGCTCAGGATGATACAATGGCTTGGTGCCAGAACCCGGACTGGACCCAGCTGTCCTGATACCCAGCCCAGTGCCTTTTCCAGGCCATGATGCAGAAGAAAATTCCCAGCAGCAAGGTCAGAGTTATGCATACCTCCTCTGCAACGAAGTCCATAGTATCAAATGTGATTCGGCCTTGTTTCCTTTTCTGGGGGGGGGCGGGTAAAAAGGAATGGGGGAGAAGAAAGAGAATCAGCAAGACCACTCCTAGAATTTTGCACTGAAACCTTCCTGTCCCCATCCCTGTGGTAGGCAGGAAGCCACAGGAACCCTTCTACCAGGTAGTCCTCTCATGTAGACCTCTGCTCAAAAGCCCCGACTCAGCCCCAGCCTCTGGCCCAGCATTAACAACGTGTCATTGTTGAAACAGAGAGAGATGTGGAGGGGTGAGGGTAAAGATAGGAAGGATGGAGAGAGAAAAGGAAGAGGGGAAAGAAGCAAACAAATGGGCAAGTGGAGAGGGACAGAAAGGGACAAAATGGAGGCATCAATGAAGCCAGCCTTCGTTAAGTGCCTATCAGGAACCAGGCATGCTCATCTTCCTTACTCCATTTCATCCTCAGGACAAAGCAGGTATTACGGAGCCCCCTTTTGGACTCGAGGCAGGTGAAGGAACCTACACAAGGATCACACACTGAGTAATCAGTCCTCTCCTAGAGTATGGCCAGAATAAAGAAGTGTAAGAGGTCTTAGGAATGAACTAATCCAACTCTATCTCCTAGGTGGATCCCCAAAGGCATCTTCATTACTATTCAGGGCCCCAAAGTTTCCTATGTGGAAAGAGTAGGGGAAGAGGCAGAGAGAGGGGGAAGATATGTGGGAGAAGGAAGGGGGAATGAAAGGGACAAACAAGGCCCTGACCACCACCTGGGCCAAACCAAGACACACGCCCCCATCTCTCTAGGTATACCGCAGGTCCTTCCCACCCCAGAGCCCCATTTATAGCTTGTGTACCTGTGTGGTGCTTCTCAAGAAGGCCAGTGAAAGAAAGCAGTGGTGCTCGGAAAGATCCAGATTCACAAGCTCTAATGAAAACTGGTCCACGGCTCTCTTTACCTGACCCCACTCTCCAGCCCCCTCGCTCTCTGCCCAGTGGCCCTAGGACCCCCTCAGGCTGCCATTAAGAGACTTCTGCTCTGCTCAAGTCCACTCTGCCCAGGCAATGTCATTAAGTTTTAGCCTCACACTCCCCTGATGACAAGGCTGATTTTGGTCTTCAGCTTCCAAGTGCCCAGGCACCGGCCCATGTCTTCTGGTAACCAAAGACTCCTGGATCCCAGGGCCCATTGCTTTACCACTGCATGATGATACTCTGAGTCAGAATGTCCTTCCTGACAGCGAACCTCAGTCTCTTATTCTTCCACTCCATCCCTTCCCAACTCATGGTCCATCCACAGGGCAGAATCTGGCTGTAGATTCATTTGGTTTGGCCAGCATAATGTCTTTAAAATATATGAATTTGAATGTCTTCAGGTGGGACATGCTCTTCTTTTCTGCAGACCCACAGGCCCCTACTCCCTGCTACATCTTAAACTCAGCGACACACACACAGTTACACCTGATGGCCCCTTAGAGACTGATCTAAGATGGCCTTTCTTTCCCCATCAGCACTGCCCATACCCCTCTCCTTCAGAAATCATTTGGGGCAATTTCTTGGAGTGAATCCTGTGCAGTTGGGAGGCAGGACTGAATCTAGTCACTCTGGGCACAACAGGAAAATGGGCAGGGTTTGTCCAGAGATTGGGAGAAACATTGGGGCCCTGAATAGTAATGAAGATGCCTTTGTGGATCCAGAACAGGTTAACAGAATGGTGATCAACTTTTCTGAGCTAAAAAGGGTACATGATCTACCACTAGGACAAAATATTTGAAATGGGGACCTTCTAGAAAATCTAGAAAGCATGGTCTCCGGAGTGAGCAGGGCCCTGCATGTGTTCCTTTGTTTAAGTGGAGGGGACAGAAAAGAAGGTAGAGATGAACAGTGGTGGGCATTCAGAAAACCCTGATTCTAATGAGACTTCTGGATTTCTCTGGCTCTTTTGATCCCTGTTGGAATGGAGATGGTTTCTTCCCTACTCCTGGTGTTTCTTTCCACATGGAGGGAGTTGTACTGGTAGAACACTACTAGCCCCTCTCCTTCCATATTGAGAAGGAGCGACTTAAACTCCTTGGTGAATTTGGAAGGAAAAACTGGGTGAGATCATTCCTTCTCCATCTCTCTGAGCCCACATTCTGCTCTGCCCTCCTCTGCTGAGTTTAGGGCAGGAGACCCTGCTCCCGCAGTGGAGGCCTGCCTTGGTCCAGCACTGCCCATGACCGGACATGTAAGGCTATCTAATTCTGGGGTTTAGTCTTAGTCTTAGTCATCCTCCAATAAAAGTCTCATCATTAACAAAAGTGACAGTTAGGTCTCCCATCTGCTTTACCCTTTGTCTTCTCTCTGTTGGTTCAGAATATGGCCTGGGAAGTGAGGTGCTATTTATCGGACCCCCTTTAAAACCTCACAATCCTGCTAAGGCCAGCTGCTTACATCCCAGAAGGAAAAGATAGGGTGCTTTCTGTGAGCAGTCTCGATGATCTGATATTCCCGGAATCCCCTGAGGCCCTGGCGGAACATTTTACACACTCGGATCATCACAATGATATCCATGGTGAGCTGGTACAGCCCCTGTGGAAACAAAACAAATTAGATCAGTAGAAACCATCTGTTTTTGACAGCCACCAGCAGGCTGGATGGCGCCAACAAGGTGAAATGGGATAGGATTAAATGCAGGGTTCTGGGCTGGAAACATGGTTACATTTTCAGGAAGTCTTCAGGCCTGTTGAAATCGTGTTGGTAGCCTGAAAATGGCCACAGCTGGGAGTATTTATGCCGCAGAAACTGGCAACTACTACAAACCTCCCTCACCAGGAGCCGGTTGTTAAAACATTCTCCAGCACAGCTCTAGTTAAATACCAAGTCCTTCACTTCGGTCCAGAAAACAGCACCAAGCGACAGCAGGCAGCAAGAGGTGATGCAAAGAGCCTGGATTTTGGAATCAGATGGATCTGACAGAAGAACAGCCAAGCAGAGGCAACATTGCTGCCTTTGAAGACAGAGGACAGGGGCCACGAGCCAAGGGATGTGAGTGGTCTCTAGAAGCTAGAGAAGTCCAGGAAATGGGATTCTTCCCTAGACCCTCAAGAAAGGAATGCGGTCCTGCTGACACCTGGATTTTAGCCCAGGGAGACCCGAGCCAGACTTCTAGCCTACATAAGATAATATCATTTGTCTTAAGCCACGAAATTGTATGATATGTTACAGCAGCAATAGGAAACTAATATAACCACTCGTCCAAGCTGGGCCATCTGATCCCAGGCAAACTTTGACCCTGGGATTTGGAATTGGAACTGAGAACAAATCAGACTCTCTATCCCAGTATGAATTTGGCAGTAAGGGCAGTCACCCTCTGCCAGTCAAGTAAATACAGGGAATAGGGAAACAAGTTCAACACCAAAGAGACAAATCCAGAATGTGAAACTATCTACAAGTCAACTAACCCAGTTTCTTTCTTTTTTTTTTTAGTTTTTTATTTATTTATTTGAGAGAGAGGGAACACAAGCAGGGGGAGTGGGAGAGAGAGAAGCAGGCTTCCCTCTGAGCAGGGAGCCCGATGTGGGGCTCGATCCCAGGACCCCGGGATCATAACCTGAGCCAAAGGCAGATGCTTAATGACTGAGCCACCCAGACGCCCCCAACTAACCCAGTTTCTTAAGAGACATACAAATAAATGCAAAATATGAACCTTTGGATCCTGATTCATAATAACAAGCTGTAAAAGCCATTATTTAGGGACAAATAAGGAAGTTGAATATGCCTGGAGATTAGATGATATCAGGGATATTAGTGTTAATTTTCTTAATCTTATAGTGATGTTGTAATCATGTCCTTATTTTTTTTTTTTAAGATTTTATTTATTTGACAGAGAGAGAGAGAGCGAGAGCAGGAACACAAGCAGGGGGAGTGGGAGAGGGAGAAGCAGGCTTCCTGC